CATATTGGTACATCTGGGAAAACCCGAATCTGAAAGCTTCCGGGTTTTCCTCACCCAAAAGAAAGTTCAAGTCCTTGCCCATCACCCACATGTCCATCACATGAACCAATCAGGTACCTTCCAGAACAGAAAAACACCTCCTCATTCTTCTCAGCACAGCTGCAGGGCCTCATGGCCTTGACTTTCTAGAAAGAATGTTATTTTGACTACATATCGTCTTCACCCCATACAATCCTCCCTCCCATTTTCCCACAATAAAATTTGTGGCAGGCTTGAAGGCTCAAAGGTGAAAAGATGGCATCCAGGTCTGACACGCTGCCATTGTTAAGTGAATCACTGCCATTGTTAAGATAATAACATGGTTGTTAAGTGAATCACTCTGGTTTCACTTCATTGACTTTGCTTGTTAGAAAGTTGCAAAATTTGATCACATGACCCCAGCACACTGCAACCGTCATAAATGTGAGTCGGTTGTCAAGCATTTAAATGAAAAATCACCTGACCATGGAGATGCTACAACGGTCATAAATGTGAAAAATGGTTGTAAGTCACTTTTTTCAGTGCCGTTCTAACTTTGATCACTAAACGAACTGTTGTAAGTCAAGGACTTATCTGCATTTGTAAAGGCAAGCTATAAATATTAAATAAATATAGTATTTCAGCCATTGGTTGAAGTCATTCTTACACCAACATATACTCAAGGATCTCCGTACAACTATTACTGTACTCTTGCGTAAGAGTATCTTCTGGATTTTAGCCAGAACAATTAGGATTGGCTAAATGATAAGTTAAGAGTCCTTCTTTTTCTTGCTTCATCTCTGGGGTCAAACAGGACCAAAGTTTTCTAAACTTTGGGTGATCAAATTTGCCTGCCCTACTAACCCTTTGTTCTCATTGAACCTCTTGATATGAAGATCCCATTTTTAATGTACTAGAAATGTTGAGTGTCCTTGTATGAAGAACCACAAGGAAAATCCTTGAGTACCAGGGGTGGCCAAGAAATGAACAAACAATTCAATTTGCTTCAATTTGGTCCAGATGTTTGGACGTCACTTACATCAGCCATGAGGATGCTGGGAAGAACTGCAGGATTGCAACACGTTGGGTAAAGTTTCAGTCATAAGTCATAAGTCACTTTTTTCAGTGCCGCTGTTGTAAGACGAGGACTACCTCTAAATTAGCTCAGTCATTAGATCACATCTTTTAGCTGTTGTTTAACAGTACCCTCTCCCTGATTTGGCTTGTGGTCACTCACTCACAGCTCTGGTTAACAGCCATACTCAAATCACTTTCAACTGAACACATTGTTGTGGCCTGCCAGCTGCCAGCAGAGCTGGCGGCAGACTCGGATGAGGAGGAGGTTGAGGAAGAACGTGGGCCAGTTCCAGAGCCTGAGGAAGGATCTGATGGATGCTCGGTGTCGGACACAGCGATAGAGTGAGGGTCGTCTGACATTTCCCAGCCGCTGGAGAGGCAGCTGCCTTTGGAGTCAGAGATGAGTGAGGAGGAGGAACAGCTGGGGCCTATTCCAGATGCACATATGCGCAGAGCAGATAGGAGAGGTGAACAACGGAGGACAATGAGTCGGGAAGCAAAACAAAAGTTTGGACGCTGAATGGCCCCTCCCTGGCTGGGGAATTAATAGGAGGAAAGGTTTGGTTGTAGCAGACAACCATTCGCATTTCTAGAAAGTTTATTCCTTGTGTGTTTCGTGTGACAAAGGCTGCCTTGCCAGGACTGAGGTTTGTCTATTTCTCTGACTTAATTTGCAGCCTTCCAGTTGGGAGCTCACAACCTTGCATTTATCTTAAGGAGCTGATAAGGATTCTTGCTTCAGTTAACTCCTTGTAGGTCTCTTGCCTGGACTTTCTGTTGGTGAATGCAGTTAATTCCCAAGGTGTAAATAAAGAGGGTTTTTTCCTTTGCGAGAAGTCTGTTTTCTTGCTTCTGTGTAGGCTGGGTCAGAACAGGCACAAACGGGTTCATGAGGACCCAGTGAATTTAAAGTAACAAACTTTACTGGTTGTAGTGTTCGCTCTCCTTCTCTCTCTCTCTCTATACACACACACACACACAGGGATTCAGCCGGTTCGCTGAACCGGTTGTTAAATTGCTGATTGGTTCCGCCCCTTCCAGGAGTCCCCCTCCCCCACGCCCCGTTTTGGCTCCTAGGAGGCTGCAAGGAGGTCTACTAGGCCCAAAACGGGGTGTGGTGTCCCCCCCCCCGTGGCCCGTTTTTGCTCCCAGGAGGCTGCAAAGAGGCCTACTAGGCCCAAACAAGGCCCCTCATGGCCCATTTTTGCTCCCAGGGGTGTGCAGGAGGCCGAGTGCTGCCTGTCACACCCCCTGGCCATGCCCAGTATGGCCACGCCCACCCATCCAGTCATTAGGGCAGAGAACCAGTTGTTAAATTATTTGAATCCCAATTAAATTAAATTAAATTATTTGAATACACACACACACACACACAAACACACCTACCCCCATCCTTGTGTAGGTTGGCAGGCACTACCCAGTGGGACTTGGCAACAGGCATGTGTTTATCATGTGTTTACAATCATTTGGGATCATGTGATTGCCGTTGTGACTTTCCCAGCCAGCTTCCCACAAGCAGTCAATGGACAGAAGGAAGCTGGATTCGCTTAATGACCATCGCATGACTCACTTAACAACTGTAGGGACCCTCTTAATAATGATAAGCAAGGTTGTAAAATTGGGCGCAAGTCACCGAACAGCCGCCTTCTTTAGCAACATAAATTCTGATCCCAATTATGGCCATAAGTTAAGGACGATAGCTGAAATAGAAGAACCTATGGTATAATTTGACTTTAAGTGTGCCAAATAGGCATTATGTTGGTCTCCTTGGGTTCAATGAAGCTAATGTACATAACAGGGTAACAGAGTTGGACGGGACCTTGGAGGTCTTCTAGTCCAACCCCCTGCTAGAGTTTGAAGATAACTAGGCAGAGGAGGAAATTTTTTGGTTTTTAAGGGCATGACCAATTACGATTTACATCACATGAGTTTATCTCATGTGGCCTTTTCAGTTTTGATTTTGCATATGATTAATAATCAAGTGTTTTTATCTGTTGTTCATCCATGCATTCCTTCACTCATTAGATGAAATCATGCTTTTCCTTAAAAAAAAAATCAGGCACAAGCGTAATGTTCTCTTCACCAGTTTTTCTCCTCAACAACCAATTTATAATTCTGATGGGCTCAGAATCACCTAGTAAGTTTCCATAGCTGTGAATAGGTTTGAAAAACAGGCTCTTCCCCATCTTTTTTCCAGTACTTGAATTCTGACATCTCACCGGCTTTCTTTTTATCTTTTTGCTTATATTCTACTATGCTTTACCAGTTTTCAAAACTGGTTACCAGAATGTATGTGGTAGACCAGGCCTGGGCATCTATGGCCTCGTTATGATCTGTGGACATCAATATATATGTGTGTGTGTATGTATATCTATATATGTACCGCGTTTCTCCAAAAAGACCCACCTTGAAAAGAAGCCCTATCACGTTTTTGAGCGCATGTGATCAAATTAAGCCCCGCCAACAAAATTAGCCCTAATTAAGACCCCGCCCACCCCGGGTGCAACGGGTGGGGTGAGGCGCACAGGTAAAAAAATAAGCTAGGGTGAGGATGGGGGGGGTGGAGCTGCCCTACTTACCAGGCCTCGCACACCCCAACACTTGCCTTGCCTTCTGCGGTCGGTTCTTCTGCGACCGCTTGCAACCACTCGCATGCATTGTCCTGGCCTCCATTTTGTTTTGAGATGCCTGCCAGAAGGCATCTGCAACTGATAAACAGAGTTCCAGATCAGTCTGGAGCTCTGTTATTGGCTGCAGAGGGCTTTCCGGCAGGCATCTGAAGGTGAAACAGAGGCCAGGGGGATGCATGTGAGTGGTGGCAAGTGGCCGCAGAAGAAGTGGGCCAGCAGTGGGCTCCTGCTGGGCGGGGCTGTCGGTGCCACCGCCGCGAGGTGAGTCAATAATTAGAACCCTCCCAAAATAAGGCCTAGCCGTTTTTTGGGAGGTCAAAAAAAAAATAAGACCCAGCCTTCTTTTTGGAGAAACACGGTATGTATGTATATATGTGTGTGTGTGTGTGTGTAAATCACAGACCATTTAGAATACATAGAAAAAAAGCGTCTTGAAAGTTGATAGTCAATACTGTATGGAGTGATATAAAGCTGTTACAGAATCTAGTTCTTCTGCTTTGGATACTGCAAAATCTCCTCCCAGAAGATAACAAAGAAAACCAGTTATGGAGAGGATGTGTAGCGTTCCAGACAATACTGCTGACCCTGGTCAAGCATCGTTTATATGCTATGTCCTGGTTAAAAGGAAGTGAACTACCAATAATCTTTTTCTGCTGTCCTCACCACTCTCTGCACAGTCTTCCTTTCCGAAACAGAAATACCTTCAAACCACACTGTAATACAATGTGAAAGTATAAAAGTATAAGTATAAATTAGATTTTGCTTGCAACTTGGGTGGCTGGCAGTGACATGGAATCTGGAGTGAATCTTGTATAAGATGCTGTTGGAAGGAGTCCTTTGGGTTTATAGAGGAGGTAGGTCAGGGGTCAGCAACTCATGACTCTGGAGCCGCATGTGGCTCTTTCATCCCTCTGCTGCGTCTCCCTGTCACTGGTTGGCGCCACAATTTTGAGAGGAGCTTTTGGTTAGGGGAAAGCATGGTGTGCCAGGAGAAGACTCTATGGCAAGGGGCGGGTTTTCCAGTCGGTTCCACAATTGATAGGGCTTTTAGTTAGGACAGGTAGAGGAAAAAGGACACCGCACTAGGAGGAGACTCTATGGTGGGGGAACTGGACTTCCGGTCGGCTCTAGAATTGAAGGGGGGCTTCCGGTTAGGACCTTTGTGGCTCTTTGAGGGTTTAAGGCTGCCGACCCCTGAGGTAGGGTGATAGAAGATCTCTAACTGAAGCTGATTGGTTGGATTACACTTTGAAACCATCTCCTTATCTTTTAAAGGGTGCAGCAGCTGGACTCTTCTATGTTGGCGCGCACGTCCTCAACGCTTACAAGGAATACGACCCTTTTCTTCAGAACCGAGATGCTCTCTTACCCCCCATAATTATCATTGCCGTTGCTGTGGTCATGATGGTCATTGGCATAGTTGGCTGCTGTGCCACCCTTCGTGAATCCAAGATCGGCCTCGGAGTGGTAAGAATAGGACCTGGCGGCTGGTGGTCCCATTTATAATAATACCATCGCATGGAGGTGATACTGGAGAGTGGGACAGTGGCCTAGAGGTGGAGCTCTCGCCTCACAATCAGGAGGCTGTGAGTTCGATCCTAGGTAGCGGCAGATATTTTTCTCTCTGGGCACAATGGGTAAATATCTGCTGTGAACTTTGCATTGGTGACAGGAAGGGCATCTGGCCAGTAAACACTCAGTTCCATTCAGTTGCCCCAACTCCACTCCAATGCAAGGGATTATGGGGTCATTAAAAGACACAGACACAAAAAATGGAGGTGATGCTAGAAGGTGGACAATGGTAGAGGTGGACATTGAGATTATCCCATTTCCAGTCACTCCATTGCAGTTGCCTAATAGGACGGGATATTTTTAGTAAATTATTGGATCCAAATGATCCAGAAATCCCTGACACTTGTCAACTTGCTTGAGGGTTGATTCCATCATGCCCACAGATGTCTAAAAAACCCTGTTGCCTACAGTAGAGTTTCTCAACCATGGCAATTTGAAAATGTGGACTTCCAACTCCCTGAAAGAGAGGGTAGATCTTTCCTCAGAACAGTCAAATCTTCCAGATGTTGGTTTGTTGACAGCATCTGGAGAAGATCACATGTCTCTCTGCTTCTTAAGTCGTCTCCTTTTCTTTCTTCAGTTCTTGGTCATCATCCTGCTGATCTTCACTGCAGAAATGGCAGCCTTTGTGCTTGGATTTGTTTACAAAGGAAAGGTGAGTGAAAATATCTATAAAGATTATCCAGGTATTGAAGCAACACCAGTAGTCCTCAACTTAACAACTATTTGTTTAATGATTGTTCAAAGTTATGAGGACCCTGAAAAAAAGTGACTTGCAGTGGTCCTCACATGACTATTGCAGCGGCATCCCTGTGGTCACTAAGCGACTCTCCATGGGATTTAAGCATTTCTGGATTCCCCCATTGACTTTGCTTGTTAGAGACCACCTGGGAAGATTGCAAATGGTGATTTTGTGACCTTGGGGCATTGAAACCATTGTAAATACATGCTGATTGCCAAGCATAAAAATTATGATCACAAAGTGACAAAGTCACTTTGATGGTCATAAGTGCAAGGACCGGTTGCAAGTCATTTCAGTGCTTTCATAACTTTGAATAGTTATTGAATAAATGGTTGTAAATCAAGGACTACCTGTTGTTTCTTTTTTTCTTTTCTTTTTTTTTTTTGGAAAAGGTTTTTTTATTTTTTAAACAAACAAACATTTAATACATCAGTTAGCTTTCCCCTTCCAAAGTTCTTTCTTCTTCTATGTAGTTATTTCTTCTATTTTGAATCCTTATCCAATCCATTATATCAATTCGTCACTAACATAATATTCTATTCATCACATATTTATACATACTTACATAATTAGTGATTTATCTCTCTTCTCCAGCCAATAATAAAAATAATTCCATATTTTAAAATATTCTGAGTCTTCTCTATCCTTAATCATCAGGGTTAATCTATTCATTTCTGCATAATTTTAAGATTTTTTTTATTACCTCTTCTTTCAGAGGTATTTTCTCTACTTTCCAATTTTGTGCATAGACAATCCTTGTAGCTGTTATTACATGTATTATCAAATAAACATTTTCCTTGCTAGTTTTTTCAGGTAGGATACCCAATAGGAACAGCTCTGGTTTAAATTCGATACGTTTCTGTATCATTTCCTCCAGCCAACTCTTAATTCTACTCCAATAGTTTTTAGCTTCTGGACATATCCACCACATGTGATAATATGATCCTGGTGTTTAATGAAGGACTACCTGTTGCTTAAACCCTTTTATTAAGGAGGAAGAACAGCAAAACCTCATTGTTTAGAGGTGCTGCTATTTGATACACAAACCTTGCCTTTTTAAGGCTTAAAGCTTTCCATTGCATTTCAGATGGATGAAAAGATGTGATGTAATAACAATCTGTGCCTTTCTTTTCTTGCCACAGATAATAGCTGAGTTCCATGACTCCATGTCAAAAGCCTTTGCAGCCTACGATGGAAAATCAGAAAACTCTCGTAGTGTAGATTACCTGCAGCAGGAGGTAGGAAAACTGGTTTTGGGCTAGCATTTGTGTCTCAATTCCTGATACAACAATATTGGTTTTGGAAACATGGATGTATTTTTATTTTGCTGTATGTTCATTCTGGTTGCAGTTTCCCTAGTTGGTGGTGGTTTTGTTTTTAAGAACAAAAAAACGGATTTTGAATTGGAGTTGGGGTAGAAATATACATTTTAAAAGAATTATTGAAGAATTATTGAACTGTGGCCAATCAATATAAAATAGCAGACATAGATCTGTGATCCCTAGATAGAAGAAAAATAGCAAATCCACTGTAAAGTGAATAGAGACGGTAATGCAGGTAGTCCTTGACTTATAGCAGTTTAATTAGTGACTGTTTTAAGTTACAATGGCATTGAAAAAAGTGACTTACGTCTGTTTTTCACACTTACGAACGTTGCAGCATCCACACAGTCATGTAATCAAAATTCAGATGCTTAGCAACTGACTCATGTGACGGTTGCAGTGCCCCAGAGTTATGTGATTAGCTTTTTTTTTTTTAATTTTTTATTATATTTTTATTGTTAAAGAATAACAAAAAGGAAAAAAAATCAATACAAAAATCAATAGTAAGGAAAGAAAAAAAATTGTGATTAGCTTTTGAGACCTGACAAGCAAAGTCAATGGGGATTTCCCTTAATAACCATGTTACTAACTTAACAGCTGTAGGTTAGTAGGTAGGTAGATGCCGTAGATCAGGGGTGTCAAACTCAAGGCCCGCAGGCCAGATTTGGCCTGCAGGATGCTTAGATCTAGCTCGTAGGGCCAGCCTGGAAACGGCAAAGGACTGGCCCACGGTGAAAACACCCTGCCCACCCCAAGCTCCGTTTTCACTGGCAGAGGGCTATCAAAACAAACTAAAAACAAAACAAAAGGAGAAATGTTTCCCCTTTTGCAATTGAGGGAAAGAAAGGGAAGGAAAAGGAAGGGAAGGAAAAGGAAGGAAGGAAGGAAGGAAGGAAGGAAGGAAGGAAGGAAGGAAGGAGATTATAATGAGAGTTGAGGGAGGGTCTCAGGGAAGTCCTGAGCACAGGTGCCCTTGACACGAGTTATGTCAAGCTGGTCATGCCCACCATGGCCATACCCCTCCGCCCCCCCAGCCCTCCAAGGTCAAACACAACTCTGATGCGTCCCTCAATGAAATAGAGTTTGACACCCCTGCCGTAGATAAATTAGATAGATTAAATAGATAGGTATGTTGCTAGGTAGGTAGGTAGGAAGATGGATGGATGGATGGATGGATGGATGGATGGATGGATGGATGGATGGATGGATAGATAGATAGAGTCACCTTGTAGGGGAGATACGATTGGTGGTATAAAAAATAAGTAAAAAGGTACGCTGTCCACCCTTCTTAGAAAGGCAAATGCTGAACGCTTCTGGATTGCAAGTGTATTATATAATAATGGGAAAATCTTGAATAGATTGAGATTGTGCATTTCCCTATCAGCCCCATAGAGTTCTCTAAAGCAGGTAGAGATTAATTAAAAACAATGGCTAAGCCAGCTTTATCAACCTGCTTGCTGGATCTCGGTGTTGTATCTAGACTTCCTAGCCAAGTTGGAGGACATCATATTGGAAGGACACTGGTTTGCTAAGACATGGTTAAGCCAAGAGTTATTGACTAAATAGTAGCCAGCTAGATTTCCAAATTCACCAAAATTTAGGCTTGGTTTATAACGAAGAACCAAAACCATTTTGCCCAAAGATAAGGCCATTCTTGTGTGTAAATTTATCTAATTCTTTCAGTTTATTTTTGCAACATTCACCTGAAGTTAACAGTATAAAATATTCAATAAGGTTTAGATTTGATTGTAATTTTTTAAAATTAATATATTCCGTTTTAGGATCTTTTTTTCAGCAAATTTATTATTTATTATTATTTATTTATTATTTGGGCTTGTATGCCGCCCTCTCTCCAAAGGACTCAGGGCGGCTCACAACAATAAATACACAAATTCAATTATAAAATATAACAGATATAAAAACCCGTTAAAATCACATTTAAAAACCCTTTCAGTCCAATCCGGCCAGGCCAAATAGCCAGGTTTAAGATCACGGCGGAAGGAACAAAGGTCAGGAGCCACCCGGAGCTCCAGGGGGAGCTGATTCCACAGAGTAGGCGCGCCCACAGAGAAGGCCCGCTCCCTTATTTATTTCTTATTTATTTAAGAAATGTTGATCATATTACCCTGTTTCCACCAAAATAAGACATCCCCTGATAATAAGCCCAATCGGGCTTTTGAGTGCATGGCAATAAGGCCAAGCGCTTATTTCAGGGTTCAAAAAATATATAAGACAGGGTCTTATTTTGGGGGAAACACAGTAGTGTCTTATTTTGGGGGAAACACAGTAGTGTCTTATTTTGGGGGAAACACAGTAGTGTCGTGATGAATGGCTCGGTAGGAAAGATCTTATCTGTTAGAGTTGCAAAGAGATGGTTTTGCTTCCAAAGTAATGATTGCATTTAAACAAGTGTTTCCTGATCATGTGAAAAAAATACAACATTCTCAATACATTGTTGTTCCAAAAATTAGCTATACAGAGCTGATACTCTATTTAAAGAGATTAGAGACCAGTTCTCTTCCTAAATCTCACTTTTTCAATTAGACTAAAATTAGGGAGGGAGGAAGGAAGGGTGGATTACTGCAGTCAATCTATCATTCCGGTGACCATATTTTCTTGGAAAAAGGACAAACCTGAAAAAGAGGCAAATATGAAAGAGATTCATAAAGGGTAAAACATTTTAATTCTTAATGTTTATAACTTTGCTTTACAAAGGAAGATTCAGGTGCAAAACCAACAAAAAAAACTTTGTAAAAATGCATATTGTAATAAAGGTATCTAAAATTGAACCCTATGTATAAATGTATGAAAAAAGACAATTCAATGTCCATGTTTTTCACACAATGTGAAAAACTGCGCACTGTGGTACCATTTGTACAGTAAACAATTGTCCTAAAAGAAAGGACAAAAGTGATTTTGTGAAAAATAAGTCCCATCTAAAAGACAGCTTTCTGAAATAAAGGCCTGTCCTTACAATACGGTCACTGTATGAATTGAGTTTTCACCAGAGGGATTAATCTTTCGCAGAACATAACGAAGGATCCGGTGAGAATCTTAACAAAACTGAGAAAAGATGAATGTCTGTTTGGCCCTTAGATAGGAGGCCCTGGAAAATAAAGGTTATTTTTTAAAGCTAGACAAGGCAATGAAAAATTACTTTATTGCCCCAAAAAAAAAAAACCCTACATAGTTGTTCCCACATAAACATCACAAGGGAAGGTCAAGTTGAAACAGTTTTTTTTTTCTTTTCATTGTGAAGCATCAGCAACAATAGTTTGATGTTTCTGGAAAGTTCTCCAGCATACTGAATCTGGGCAGGAGTCTCCACAACACACAGATGCCAATTTCAGCACTTGATTGCAGTGTTTTCCCAAAGAGGAAGAGAGTCTGTATATTATATTACGAGCCATGGTGGCGCAGTGATTAGAGTGCAGTACTGCAGGCTACTTCTGTTGACTGCCGGCTGCCTGTAATTTGGCAGTTCGAATCTCACCAGGCTCATGGTTGACTCAGCCTTCCATCCTTCCGAGGTGGGTAAAATGAGGACCTGTTGTGGTCCGCCAGCATGCTGTGGAGCTGGCAGCGCAGTCGAACAGCGATGAGGCTGAGGAAGAACATGGGCCAGTCCTGGAGGCTGGGGAAGGCCTGGATGAGGGCTCTGTGTCGGAGGCAGAGATGGGGCCAGAGCCATTGGGGAGTGAGGTGCGGACTTCAGAGCCTCCAGAGGCTGACAGTAGAGAGGCAGAGGAACAGGAGGAGCCTGTTCCTAGTGCACGTATGAGAAGAGCAGCTAAAGCAAAGAGGACAAATCGGGAGTAAGGCCAAGAGATGATTGGCCCGTCCCATAAGGCTTAAAAGACCAGCAATGGCTCTTGGGCTCTTTGTCGGAAAACAACATTGATAGACTTTTTCTTGTCTTGCTGCACTTATCTCTGGTCGGCGTCTTCTGCTTCTGAACTTTTGCCAAGAGAAGCCTTTGGCAGTTTGCCTAATTATACCAAGGTTGGTGATTAGACTGAAGAATTTGTGTTATGAAGAGTTTGTTTTGCTTTAGTTTGGATTACGCTGAGAATGAGTTAATTCTCAGCTGTTCTAATAAAGTCTGTGTCAGTGCTGGGACGCTGACAGTCTGTTTGTTTTGGAATTGTTTGCATCGATTGTTACCTAATTGGACCAGGGTCACAACAGGACCCAGATTGTTGGGGGAAAGAGGCCGATTCTGTAAATTGCTTAGAGAGGGCTGTAAAGCACTGTAAAGCAGTATATAAGTCTTACTGCTATTGCTATTATGGCTCTTATTGAGCATTCTTTATCTGGCACTGTCCAGACGCATGGAATTCTGGGGGATTCTGGGACTTGCCATTCTAGCACATCTGGAGGGTATCACGTTCTGGAGAAGGTGACCTTGAGGGATAAACCCTCCAAGTCTCAAAGGCAAATGAACTGAACTTTGGATGTGCCTCTTCCAACCACAGTTGTTGCTCTTTCAGCTTCAATGTTGCGGTGTCCAAAACTACACTGACTGGATTGGGACTCAGTGGTTCATAGGCAACCATACTCTTCCTCTGAGCTGCTGCAAGCAAGGTCCGGCTTTCAAGAATTGCACAGGACAACTGAGTGAGAAGCATCTTGTCAACACCCAAGTAAGAGCATTCAGAGTTTGCTTGAGTGTGATCAAAGTTGTAGGAAACGAGAATTTAAATTGTACGAACCAGCTTCCTACAATGTTGGTTTGGGGGTTTTTTTGGCTTTGCTGGCTGTCTTTTCTTAACCTTACTCCGGAATATATGTCTCCTGTTTCATATACAAAATTCCTCTCCCTACATATATGTGGAGATTCTCAATCATCCAAGCCATGGTTGTCTCAAAGGTGGTTTTTTTCAAAAGACAACTGGATTATGTTTTTAAGAGCCGTGGCGGTGTAGTGGTTAGCATGCGGTATTGCAGGCTGACTCTGCCCACTGCCAGGAGTTCGATCCTGACCAGATTGGCTCAGCCTTCCATCCTTCTGAGGTTGATAAAATGAGGGTCCAGATTGTTGGGGGCAAGGTGCTGACTCTAGAAACCATTTAGAGAGGGCTGTAAAGCGGTATATAAATAAGTGCTATTGCTGTTTTTTCCCTTGAGGAAGAAAACGTTTTGCTTCTTATCCAAGAAGCTTCATCAGTTCTGGCTATACGGTGGCGGTGGTGGGGAAATGGAAAGATTAGTTCCGACAGGACGTTGGGTGTGTGTCGAAGGATTATATTTCTTTGCAGTCATATAATGCATATGAGTGCAAAGAATATAATACCTCCTATCAGAACTAATCCTTTCATTCCCCCACTTCTCCCACCACCAGCCAGCTAGAACTGATGAAGCCTCTTGGATGAAAAGCAAAACGTCTTCTTCCTCAATGGGGAAAAAACACAGTCCAGTTGCCTTTTGAAAAATCACGTTTGAGAGTCCTCTCCCTACATTTAACTTCAAAGAAAACACTTGTCTACCAGCCCTTTCATATTTGTGGATTGAGCTGATGAAACCAATATGTACTATCATACATATAACTGGTGGAATTCACTGCCCCAAGTTAGGGTTTCATCCAATTTGCTTGAGGGGAATAGAATAATCTAAACCAAGAATGACACACAGTGATCTTCCAAGATGAGTTCTTTATTGTTCTCACACTTATACCGTTTCCCCGAAAATATGACCTACCCTTGAAAGTAAGTAAGTCAAGCGTAAGCTTGATTTTTAGCACGTGTGCTCAAGGTCGACTCAGCCTTCCATCCTTTCTAAGGTGGGTAAAATGAGGACCCGGTTTGTGGGGGCAATAAGCTGACTTTGTGTAAAATATACAAAAGTATGAAGGCTATTGCTTAACGCATTGTAAGCCGCCCTGAGTCTCCGGAGAAGGGTGGCATATAAAAATAAATAAATGAAATAAATGAAATGAATGAATATTTATTTATTTTTTATTTATTTTATATCAAATTTATATACCGCCCTTCTCCCTGAGGACTCAGGGCGGTGTACAGCCAAATAAAAACATAAACTACGAACATTAAAATACTATTAAAAGATATATATAAATTTGGCCCCGTAATTAAAAAACAATGACAAACCAGTTAAAAACATTTAAAAGTGTTAAGCCAGCCCGGCTTGCTGGAAAAAAAAAGTTTTAAGGGCACGGCGGAAGGCACTGAGGTCTTGGATTCTCCTTATCTCTGGGGGCAGCTGATTCCAGAGGGTAGGTGCCCCCACAGAGAAGGCCCTCCTCCTGGGGGTCACCAGCCTACATTGTTTGGCTGATGGCACCCTGAGGAAGCCCTCTCTGTGGAAGCACACAGGTCATTGGGAGGCTGTCGGTAGCAGCAGGCGGTCTCAAAGATAGCTAGGCCCTATGCCATGGAGCGCTTTAAAGGTGATAACCAACACCTTGAAGCGCACCCGGAAGACCACTGGGAGCCAGTGGAGCTCACGCAGGAGAGGTGTTGTATGGGACTGCCATGCAGCTCCCGTAACTACCCGCGCGGCCGCATTCTGGACCAGTTGGAGCCTCCGGGTGCCCCACAAGGGGAGCCCCATGTAGAGAGCGTTACAATAGTCCAGGCGAGATGAAAATAAATATAAGCCCTGCCCCCCAAAATAAACCCTAATTAAGATCCCGCTCACTCCAGAGTGCACAGGTAAAAATTAAGCTACGGTGGGGATGGTGGAGCTGTCCTACTACTTACTTTTGGATAATTGTAGCCAGGCCCCTATCACAGCCCGACACTGCCTTTCCGGCCCATTTCTTCTGCAGCTGGCAAGGCTTTCCTGAAGGCTTCTGTAGCTGATAACAAGATAACAGAGCTGCAGCTCTCTTATTGGCTGCAGAGGCCTTCAGGAAAGCCTTGCCGGCCACAGAAGAAGTTCCTGAAGGCCTCTGACAGCAAAAAGGAGGCCGGGGGTGATGCCCGCAAGTGAGGTTACTCAGTGGCTGATATCCCCCGAAAATAAGACGTGCCTTTTTTGGTGGCAAAAAAAATATAAGACAGGATCTTATTTTCAGAGAAACATGGTAGACAAAATCTTGAAAGATGTAGGACTCTACTATCTCCATCTACAATATACTCTGGGAATTATTAGGGAGGAGCCGTGTTCATCCTCTTTCTATCACACATAATATCTGAGCTGAGTTGCCTCTTATTCCTCTGGACTGTTGCACCCCTTCCCTCCTGAGGATCCACCTCCTCACTATAGTCCATCATCAAGTCTCTGATTGGCTATTGTGGAAAATATGACAATGGACTAGCTTGGTGTTTCTCAACCTTGGCAACTTTAAAATGAGTGGACTTCAAGTCATGGCTGGCTGGAGAATTCTAGGAATTAAAGCCCATCCATCTTAAAGTTACCAAAGATGAAAACATTGGACTAGATCAGAGGTCTTCAAACTTGGCAGCTTTAAGACTTGTGGACTTCAACTCCCAGAATTCTCCAGGCAGATTTAAGACTTGTGGACTTCAACTCCAGAATTCTCCAGCCAGCTGGCTGGAGAATTCTGGGAGTTAAAGTCCACAAGTCTTAAAGCTGCCAAGTTTTAGGACCCCTGGACTAGATGAACTTCTGGGCAGGTCCAGAGGCCTTTGTGTCCTTATCCTTATAGAGCCGTGGTGGCGTAGGTGGTTAGAATGCAGTACTGCAGGCTAACTCACTGCTCACTCCAGCAGTTCGATTCTGAGCGGGCAAGGTTTACTCAGCCTTCCATCCTTCCGAGGTGAGTAATACGAGGACCCAGATGGTTGGAGGCAACATGCAGATTCTGTAAGCAGCTTAGAGAGGGCTGTAAAGCCCCTTGAAGTGGTATATAAGTGCTATTGCTATCTTTACCAAGTTCTTGAACAAAACTCTTAAACTTTTCTACAAAACTCTTTGAGCTTATGTAATCAATTCTTCTCCATCATCTCCCCTCACTAACAGGGCTGTGAAAAGATAATAGATCTCCGTGACCTGCTCAATTACGCGATGCTCATTGTCTTGGCTTTTGCCATTGTGAAGGTATGTGTGATTGCCAAGTTTGAACATGTTTTTCAGTTGGGTTTATCCAGGGACTGGAAAGAAAAAACTGCATGGTGGACCCCAAATGGTTCCAATCCACTTTCAATCCGAATGGCCTGCTCTTCTCGTTCCCATCCTGATTTGGTTTTTTTTTAAAAAAAAGAAAAGAAAGAAAGAAAAAACACAACATTCAAAATTGGCTGTTTCTGTTTAAATGGTGGCGATTGTTGTGACCCAGGCCCAAGTAGGTATTATCAGACTCAATCAGTTCAAAACAAACAGACTTTATTAGAACAGCTGAGAATTAACTCATTCTCAGCATAGTCCAAACTAATTCAAAACAAATTCTTCATAACACAGTTCTTCAGCCTTATCACCAACCTTGGTCTAATTAGGCAACCTGCCAAAGGCTTTTCTTGGCAAAAGTTCAGAAGCAGAAGACCCCAACAAGAAATAAATGCAGCAAGACAAGAAACAAATCTATCAATGTTGTTTTCCGATAAAGAGCCCAAGAGCCATTGCTGGTCTTTTAAGCCTTATGGGAAGGGCCAATCATCTCCTGGCCTTACTCCTGAGTCGTCCTTTTTGCTTTAGCTGCTTTGCCTTCTGGCAGCTCTTCTCATGCATGCACTAGGAACAGGCTCCTCCTGTTCCTCTGCCTCTCTGCTGTCCAACTCTGGAGGCTCCGGAGTCCGAGCATCACTCCCAGATGGCCCTGGCCCCATCTCTGCCTCCAATGCAGAGCCCTCATCCAGGCCTTCCCCAGCCTCCAGGACTGGCCCATGTTCTTCCTCAGACTCCTCGCTGTCCAACTCCACTACCAGCTCCACAGGCTGCTGGCGGACCACAACAGTGATCCTGGAGGTTTCCTGCAGTCCAAGAGTTTTCATAGATGGTCGCTAGAGAAACATGGCCTTATCCTGCCAGTCTCCTCTAATGTTCTTTTGATTCTAAAGGTTTTTATCTTTTCATTTGCTCAATTGAAAACTCCACCCATCAGATTAAGTGGAACATTCCAAGGGCTCTTGTCTTCCCTTCGAAAGCTTAAGCAATTATCATTCAGTTATATTTCTATCGCTGCCGTTTCTAGCCTAGTTGGTGTCTTTCCAGGGCCAGTTAACGAAATTGATTCATTATTTGCTTGGATCTTCTGTTATGAGTAATCACACATAGCCGTAATCCACAAACAGCCAGTGGTTTCTTTTAAAAAAAACCAGAAGCGCAGGGTTCATGCAGTATTTACTTTATAAACCATGATTTACAAACCATGCCACCAGGGGTGGGCTGCTGGAGGTTCGCAGGGGTTCAGGAGAACCTCTAGCTAAGATTCTGCGCAGTTCGGAGAACTCCCAAATCCCACTGCTGGTTAGCCCAGCCCAACCCGCCCCTCCAGGAGTCCCCATGTGGCCTGTTTTGGATGCAGGTAAGTGCAGGGTATGCGCGGAGGCTCGGGGAGGGCAAAAAACAGGCCTACTGGAAGTTCAGGAACCGTTTCCGGCCTCCAGAGGGCATCCAGAGCCTGGGGAGGCCGTTTTCGCCATCCTGGAGGCTCGAGGAAAGCCTTCAGAGCATGGCGAGGGCAAACACCCCCCCCCCCGTGGTGCAGGAGGCTGACTAGGCCACGCCCACCATGGCCACGCCCACCCAGCAACCGGGTAGAGAACCCCTTGCTAAAATTTTTGAAGCCCACCCCTGCATGCCACCCATGATCGTGCTACATGTAGCTATGGCTTGCTTAGTCCTGATTGTTGAATAAACTGTAATGGACTGAATCCAAACAGTACATCAGGCCACAAACCTTGGTTAGAATTAGAAACTACACAATGCAATAAGCCAAAACTAAGCAAGTTATGGAATCAACCCCACTATTAGATTGTTTGCATCATTACTCTGGTGTTAACTTGGACCTGCAGGCAATAATATTTTGCAGTCCAATTTAGTGCCTTTTGATTGATTCTAAAGAAGGGGGTAGACAACCTGCGTCCCTCCAGACATTTTGGTCTATGGATCCCATTGAGTTCTTCCATGGTACAAGCCCTTCTGTTGTTTTATTATGAAGCCACAAAGATCTGGAGAATACCAGATTGTTTATAGCCCTGAGTTATAACTACCTTCATATTCTCCAGTTGGTTTCTCACTTGATGTGTCACACACCAAGGATTGTGCTAACTGAAATGGATAGAGCATATATAGGTAGTCCTTACCTTATGACCATAATGGAGTCTGCCCATTACGGTTGTAAGTCATAATGATCATAAAACAGGTCACTCACATGACCAGCCTGATTTTACAGTCTTTTATTTAACAATAGTTTAGTAAACACCATGGTTGGTTGGTTCGCTCTGGGCCAGTTTAGCCCCAAACTGGAAGTAAATGGTTGCCAAGTACCTGGCATGTGGTCACATGACTTCAGAGGAGCATTGGAACTTTGAATCTAGGTTGTGGGTACCCCCCTCCATGGAGCTCAGTCGGAACGTCAAACGGTTGCTAAGCAACTGGTCATAAATTGAGGACTACCTATAATCCAGAATATCTAGAGGACACTCAGAAGGGCAAAACTGAATTTGATAGAGAAATGAAAATCAATAGTTGTAAAGAGAATGTTAAGGGTCAGATTTGAGAGAAGAGCAATCTATTTTCAAACTATAAATTCTGTAAAGATTGCCAAGTATGGGGTCCTTTGTGCTCTCTAAGCTTGATAGCTTTCTTATAGGCATTTCATTACCAAACTAGGTAACATCATCAGTGCTACCTAAAACTAAATCCCAGAATCCAAGAGGCCCCGGAGTCTGAATGGGTGGTCAACATGTCCTGCCATCCACTATCTACTGCAGAACACAATATTTTACAGAGAGGCCTCCACTTCAATACAGGTGATGCTAATCAACTAAAATTCTAGAAGGAACATTTAAAACCAGCAGCCCTGATGATGTTACCTAGTTTGGTAGTGAAATGTCTGCAAGAAAAGATGCCAAGCTGAGAAAGGATCAAGGACCCCACAGTTCAACTTTGACCTACAAATATTCTCTTCGATGCTTTGCACACAGACTGAAAGATTAATTACAGGGTTTTTTTCCTTTCAGTTTTTTGGAATGCTTGGGATCTGCGTGTTGGCCTGCAAGAAGGAAAGCCAAGGGTATCAGTCCCTGAGCACCGGAGTGTTTGCCTGACCAAGAAATAGATGACTCTTCCTTTTGGGATCTCCATGAACAAAAATGGAAAGATATCTTGAGTAGAAAGCATTAGCCTACTTTTTATGAAATCCCAAAAGAGATTACACTGGCTTTCAGAAGTCGTATTAAAGGTGAAATAGTTGGCATTAACATCCTGATAAGCCTGAGATTTGTCTGATGTAGTTGAAATTAAGGTGCCCTTTTTTTAAACAGCAGATGGAGACATTCACCAGAAAAGGCAGACCAACGCTTGCAATTCCAGTGCCTGATGATATAATTTGTGAATCTATCCTTGAAGAGAGACTTAAAGAAATTATTTTTTTACCCAAGACACACTTTTTCCTTGATTGGCTAGGCCATTGGCATATGGTAAATGGCTAGATGCTTATAGCAAATCTCTAAAATCCAGTGGAAATGGCAGTTTCCAGTTAGATATGTTGAAATCCACTCTGAGGTAAATGTTGGGAATATAGCATGCCTTGGATTGAAGCTGGATTCTTTTCCCAAGAAAAATTATAGGGTATGAATGCGGACAATTTCTTTTACTCTAGACTGATATTTTCTAGAGTAACTTGAAAGATTTAGACATAGGCAGACTTTATCTGGTAGTGACCAGCTTTTCTTACAGAATATCCATTAAATGTCTGACCATATGAATTCTTTTGCTCAGAAGTTGAGTTAGGTCAGAAATGCATATAAGATTCCATTTTTTTTAGCTCATGATGATGAATTCTGGTGGTAAAGGTTCTCCAAACTGACAATTCATATAGGGGAAGCACAATGCAGTTGTAACATAATCCCTAAAAGAGGTTTCAGAGTGTCCAACTTTGGAAACATTAAAATTTGTGGACTTGAACTTCCAGAATTCCCCAACCACCCATACTTGCTGGAGAATTCTGGGAGTTGAAGTCCACTAGTCTTAAAGTTGCCAAGGTTGGACATCCCTATTTTAAGCAAAGAAGATACTCTGCTCTAAATATCAATCACAGCCTTATCTCTGAAAAAATATATATTTATTCCTTGTTACCACTGCATCCTTAGTTCTGGTCTATCAAAACTAAGTACAATTCCCAGCTATAAATTTGTTGAGCTACAGAACAAAATCAGAGTTGCAAGAATCCTTCAGAAGTGATGGATTAATTACTTATTCCTAGCCATATCTGCACAGAGTAATTATGTATTTCAGAGACACCAGGTTACAGAAGGCTGATATAGGTGTATATGGTTTTAATTTTTTAGTCTTTATTCGCTGGATTGCTCCAGTTTGAATACAGTCTATTTTTGGTCCCAATAATCAAGTAGGCACCACAGTTGAGTAAAACCTGGAAACATGATGCTACTTTCATTCCAACAACTGAGCTTGATATTATTCTGCATTCTTGGATGGTATTAAAACAATTTCTCCAGATGAAGGGTGTTGATTTGTTGGGGCACGAACAGATGTATTCTTCATCTTTTGTCGTTTTGTTTTTGTTAGCAAAGAAACAACTTACATAGCATATATGTTGCTGGGGGGAAAAGCAACAGTTTTGGTTTTTCAAACCATCTCTCTTTCATTTTTGAGTATTGTATGGCTACTTAGATTACATAAAGAGCCTCCTGAAACCCTAAATAAAAACTTCAAAAAAAAGTGCAGTATTTTATTTCATTTGAAAATACAAGGAGAATTGAAAAAGCCAGTGTGTAAAATAATAACACAAGGACACGAAGATATTTTAGTTAAACTTCTGATGATTTCACAAGCAACTTGGAAAATATAGAAGGACTTTGCTAGTGTCCTGTTCTGGAATTATTATTTCCCCCCCCCCCATTTTTAATACATTTTCTGGGTTTCTATCATACATAGAATGGCAAAATATTCAATGACTTTTCGACAATTTGCTGTGGAATTCACCTACTACATACAATAAAGTCTCCAAGATGAATTTAGGTCACGACTCCACTTACACTTCCATGGAGCTGGCACTATGGTGGTGCTATGTAATTGCTACCTTCTTGAATTATTAAAAAAATATCCCAGTCTTAATTTTGAACTCTGGAATCACTTGGTGGTCTCCCATCCAAGTGCCAATCAGGCCCATCCCTCAGAGTTTCAGAATCCACTCAAGATCTGCCAGGAACAAATGAGAATAAGGAAAGAGAAGCCAGACTATACTATTACAGCAAATTCCTGCATCTTCTCATTTGTTTGCTAAAGTTGTATTCATACAACCCATGATTGAACCAGTCCTTATATATTATGCATAAAACATAATACATAACACAAGATATTGCAAAGGCACAAACAAGAGAAAAGACCTGGTTAAAACAAACTATATTGTTTGAATGCAAAACTAGATTTTTTTTTATGTTATGTGTGCTTGGATAAGTCCAGTTTACACCTAAGAACTGATGAATGGTTTTGCTAAGCTTTCCAAATAACTTGGAAACTGGTTGCAAGCAAACGATCACTAGATTTCAGCATACCTTTTGCTTGAATACTGGAACCGTTGCATTCCCAGTTTCATCCCTCACTTCAGGCTTCCATTTAGCTTCAACTGAATTGTAAGGCTGAATAGGGACGCAGATTTTACTGCTCAGACTTCCAGTTGAGTGTTGCTGCCCTTATAAACAACAGTTTCAGGAATTGGGCATGGCTAAGGCTCAGTGATGGGATTCAAGTAATTTAACAACCGGTTCTCTGCCCTAATGATTTCTTCCAACAACCAGTTTGCAAACTGCTCAGAAAGTTAACAACCGGTTCTCCTGAAGTGGTGCGAACTGGCTGAATCCCATCACTGCTAAGGCTATTGAAAAGAAGGGTAGGGGGTGACAACAGTATTCCAATATCCAATATTTGAGGGGCTGCCACAAAGAAGACAGGTCAGATCAACCTATTTTCCAAAGCACCAGAAGGCAAGGCAAGAAACAATGGATGGAAAGTAATTGAGAGAAGCAACCTAGAACTTCCTAACAGAGAACAATTAACCAGTGGAACAACTTGCCTTCAGAAGTTGTGGGTGCTCCCATCACTGGAGGCTTTTAAGAAGAGACTGGACAGCCACTTGTCTGAAATGGCATAAAGTCTCTCGCTTGAGCAGGGGATTGAACTAGAAGACCTCCAAAGTCCCTTCCAATTCCGATATTCTGTTATTGGTCAGAATTGCTGCCATGAAATACAGGTAGCCCTTGACTTACAATTACCAAGAGAGGCACTTGTTAAGTGAGTTGTGCCTCCTTTTATGCCACAGTTGTCAAATGAATCACTGCAGTTAAGTGAATCATGCAGTCGCTAAACAAATCTGATTTCTCCCGTTGACTTGGCTTATCAGAAGCCATCTGGGAAGATCACAGCTCGTGATCTAAATGACCCCGGGACTGCAACTCACTGTTAAATACATGCCGGTTGGCAGGTGCCCAAATTTTGATCATGTGACAATGGGGATGCTACAATGGTGTGAAAACTGGTCATAAGTCACTTTTTAAAGTGTTGTAACTTCAAACGGTCACTAAATGAATGGTTGTAAGTCAAGGACTACCTGCACTCGCATTCCACTTTATGGAATTCAAGATCTTGACCATACAGCAATTAGCATAGAGGGCCAGCATCTTGTGTAGAGAATGTATAGATTCATTGTAGCAGTGTTTCTCAACCTTGGCAGCTTTAAGATGGCTGGACTTCAATTCCCAGAATTCCCCAGCCACAGCATGGCTCTGGGGAATTCTGGGAGTTGAAGTCCATCCATCTTAAAGCTGTCAAGGTTGACAAACACTGTATTTAGGCATATTTCTAATGGACTTTTGCCTTTTGGCTGGTCTTTCTGTCATGTTCTTTTCTGCTTTCACCTAGGACGGGTGGGCAATTGTGGCTCTCTTACAACCTGTGGACTGCAACTCCCAGAATTCCAGAGACAGCCAAGAGCCACAATTGCCCACCTGTCCTAGGTGAAAGCTTGGCTGTCTCAGGAATTCTGGGAGTTGCAGTCCACAGGTTGTAAGAGAGCCACAATTGCCCACCCCTGTCCTAGGACATCTGGGCCGCAGCAATGTGGACGACCATGTGAGGACAGGAATTACCTGTTTCTTTGCTACCGTCCAGATCAGTGTTTCTCAATCTCAGCATTTGGGGGTTAGACTAGAAGACCTCCAGGGTCCCTTCAACCTCTGTTACTGTTTTTAAGATGGATGGACTTCAACTCCCAGAATTCTGCTGACTGGGGAATTCTGGGAGTTGAAATCCATTCATCTTAAATCTTTACAGCTCGACAGTCTTTATCGCTGGTTGTCTGAAAGTGCAGGAGGAAAAACTCCATCCGAGCAAAACTTTTAAAGTCTACCCTATTGATAAAGTTCCCCTGTGCCTGTCAATTCAGATGCAAACCCCTTTAGTTCAAACTAAGGACTTAATTCTTAATCCTTTTCTCTCCAGTGGTACAATCCATCCCCACCACCACCACCACCACCGTATGTCGATGCTGCGCGACTCTACAATTTCTATCTCCCAACACTTGTGTGCCGTTCTATATTTCTCGTCTATGGCTAAACTTCTCACTGTTCGTAAATGGGTGGCTAAACCGTGTGCCGCTCTATATTTCTCGTCTTTGGCTAAACTCGCCACTCCCTCCGAGGTTGGGAATGAGCAGGCACGCCTCCGCGGCGAGATGACCCAGTTCTCGCGCGATTGGAGATTCCCAACCGCTTGGGCGGGTCATTTGAATGCGAGCGAGTCGCCGCTGGATGGAAGTTTTTGATTTTGTTTTATTAAATGGTGATCGTGGCTATGGAAGAGGACAAGGCGGCAATTGATTCTCCCGGTGATGCTGACGGTGAGATCACGATGCCCTTTATGTCTTTCTTTCGAACACAGTTTAAAATAATATTAATATTTATTTATATATTTATTCTATTACTCCAGCCGCCCATCTCAATCAGTGACTCTGGGAGGCTTAAAATTCCAAAATTATAATAAAGTTTAATATAACATTAACTGAAATAAATAAATATTTAATATGTAGTGATTGTTATATTTTGCATTATTATAAAATTATTACATTATGTTTTTCTATTGCTATTATAGCACATTATTTTTATAATAATGAATTAATTGCCTTCTATTGATATATATGTGTGTGTGCATACAAACCCTACTTCCCTTTTAGCATTTTTGGAAC